ACTGCATAGATCTCAGCTCCAATTGGGCCTGAGAACTATTTGCCTAACAATGTTGTGTTTCTTAATTTGATATTTTCCAATCCCTAAGCTCTCTCTTGTCTTTCTTTCTAGACACCACTTCCCACTTTACTGTATGATCCTTTTTAGAATCACCAGGTTCCCATAGAAAATCTCTCATTATTTTTTCAATCTAGTTTGCAATCTTAACAGGCAATTTGAAGGTTGACAAAAAAATACATTGGAAAATTTGCTAGTGTTGACTTAATTAGAGTGATTCTACCCCCTAACGAGATGTAGTTTCTTTTCCATCCCGCTAGTCTCTTTGAGAATCATTCCAAAACTGGGTACCAAAAGCTATCTGACATCGGGTTTCCTCCCAAAGGTAAGCCTAGATACTTAAGAGGCCAATCACTTGCCTTACAACCTAGAGATCTAGCCAAAGATGCCACCTCTACTTCTTGCTTATTAACTCCAACTACACAACTTTTATTCCAATTTACTCTCAAGTTGGAGACCTTTTCAAAATTCTTTACCAACACCTTTAGATTTTCCAACTCCTCCGGATTTCCTTCACAAAAAAGAATTAAGTCATCACCAAATTGAAGGTGGGTAACAACTATTTCCCCCCTCCTTACTCTCCACCCTCTAAACAAGTTTCTAGCATCAGCTCAGTAATCTGGACACTCAAAACATCAACTATTAGGGTGAAAAGGAAAGGGGAAAGAGGGTCCCCTTGTCTTAAACCTTTTTTTGCCGGGAAGAAGTCCTTGGTTACGTCATTAACGAGAATGGAATAAAGGCATGAAGAGACACAACCCTTAACCTAATTACACCACCTCTCTCCAAAACCTCTAATTTTCAATACTTCTAGTAAAAAACCCCAATCCACCAAATCATAGGCCTTCTCTAAGTCGACTTTGCAAATCAGACCCTTTTCCCCTTGTCTTTTTCTGTAACCCACATACTCATTGGCAATAAGGATCTGATCAATAATTTGTCTTCCTGACACAAACGCCCCTTGTTTCGGAGAAATCAAGGATGGTGGTACTTTTTTTATTCTTTCTGCTAAACCTTTGAGATTACCTTATACATACTACCAATTAGGCTTATGGATTTAAAATCCTTTGGGTGATTTGTATTGACCTTTTTAGGAATCAAAGCTATAAAAATATCATTGGCACTCGAATTTATCTTACCTCTCTCAAAGAATTTCGAGAAGACCTCCATTAAGTCACCATTTATAATATCTTAGCAATCTTGTTAAAAGGCCACCGTGAAACCATCGGGGCTCGGGAATTTAGATCTTTCTATTGAAAAAACAACATTTTTTACTTCTTGGACCTCAAAATTCTTTTCTTCTCTTCTCTTTTCTCTCTCTCTCTTCTTGGGCTGTCATAAATGGATTTGAAATCCACAAAAGCTCTTGCTATCTCCCATCTCCCTCCTTCAGCCACTTACACCTAGATTTTTGTCTCCAACATATCTCCTTTTTCCTAATGATTTCCTCCAACTCCTGTTTCAGCTTCCAACGCTCTTCCCTCTCTCCTACTGTCGATCTTCTCTCTGCCTCACCTACATCAATTTCTTGAATCCTTTTGGCAATCCACTCCTTTCTTTCTTCCACTCTCCCAAATTCCTCCTTATTCCAGGCTTTGATTGATCCTAGCTTTCAGGGCCTGTATCTTTTTATAAAACTTGTACCCTTTCCACCTGAATTCCACTTGGTCTTCTTCCCACCACAATTAAACCTTTTTGATAAAATTAGGATGAAGCAACCACATGTTTTCAAACCGGAAAGGACAAAGTCCACCTCAATTTTCTTGGGATAACCTAACTGGACAATGATTTGAAGTAGGTCTAGGGAGAGCCCTTACTACCAGTCCCCTCCAAGTAGATTCCCAATCTAAAGAGAATAAGAATCTATCTAATTTACAACACAGGGGTTCTTCTTGGAAATTGGACCAAGTGAAATTTTCTTGCAACATGGGTAGCTCTCTCAGCTCATGAGTCCACAAAAAGGTTGAACTTTTTTCATGCTAGAGGTGACCCTATGGTTTGGATTGGTAGTCTCATTTAGGACTCTTATGACATTGAAATCGCCTCCTAAACACCATAGGCCATTCCAAAGACCCCTAATGGCTGCAAGCTCCTCCCAAAAATATCCCTTTCCCTATATGAGTTATGTTCCTAAATATTGGTTAAGGCCCACTCAAAGCTATCCTCTTTCCTTCTCAATTTGATTGTTATCATAAAATTGCCAATTAGTTCTTCAGTACCGTCCACCTCTTCATTCTTCCATATTGTAATGGAGTAATGATGCCTCCTGATGCTCCCCATGATTGTGTAAACGCCTAGGCCCAGCTTAACCCTCTAGCTGACCATATACTCCTCACCCATCTTCCATCCACCTTTGTCAGCTTTGACTCTTGAATTAAGACAGTGGTCGGCTTCTCTTTCCTAAGGACTTCCTAATTACACTTCTTTTTCTTGAGCTCCCCAATCCCCTTACATTCCAACTGATTATCTTCATGGAAATATAAACAAAAAGGCCCAAAGATTCAGCTTAATTTAACCCAACTTTCTTTCCTTCCTTCCTGTGCCTCCTCTTTCATAATCCACACCACACTTAAAGTCTTTCGACTTCATTCATCTGCTTTTTTCTTCTTCTAGAAGTCTCTCTCTCCCCAGATCTTTTGTCTGAGTTACTTCTTGTCCTTTTTTCTTATCCCTGCTAAATTTTTAATTGCCTTTTTAGTTCCAGCACCACTCTTATTAATCTCCCTCTTCTTTTCCTTAGATTTAGCCCCTGGAAGTTCAGCCCCTTCTTCTGATCCCAACCTGGAATGCATTTCCATCTCTACCAACTGCTCGAAAAGGATCACTATTAATTCCCAGATTCACTCCCCTTCCTCCTTAGACTCTTCTACAGCCTCAACATCCCCTATCTCTTCTGTTACTTCCACAGAATCACTAGGAATGGCCGCTGCAGGACAGGACCTGGAAATACCTTCTGGCTGGACAGACAAAACAAAAGGAGAGAGGGGAGGATTAACCGAATCACAAATAAGAACCAAAGAGGATTGGTGCAACATACCAGGCTCCAAGTGGTCTGCACTAAGTTCCGCAGAAGATTGGACTATAGGGCTTTTAAACAGGGGGTTCTCCTCCAAAACAACCTTTGAAGTGCAAGCCGGGGGAGGGGAGAACCCCCTGTTTGTGGTGTAACTTGGCTTGAAATGATCCTGGCATGTCCAACTGACTGGCATCTCTCATGCATTTATATCTTTTATGGGTTTAGTTGGCTAAACTTACATGTTCCAAGAACCTTTTTCCCCTTTATTTTCAAGATTTATTTGCATCCCTGCAAAGTTTTGTCCTCATTGACATTTTGTCAAGCTTGGCATTTATATTAATTTGTCTGCCATATTCCGGGGCTATTAAGATACTATTTTCTGTGTTTATGATCAAATACAAAATTTAGCATACATCTTTTTGGATTTCATGTCATCCAATGTATGCAATAGCATATCTGATACTTACGATCTTTCTCTTTTCAGTTGATGGACTAAGCATTTAACTGATACAACTTTCCTTAAACATTCACGGGTCTATTTGCCATCCTTTGTTCTCCACTTCTCCTCGAGCAAACTAAATGGATCAATTGTGAACTAGGTCCATGTAGCACCATGACCTCAATCACAAGTAGTGATCCATGAAATCAAAGAGCCTGTCTTGTTAACCTTTTTTTTTTTGGGAGGGGAGGAGAAAAAGTAAAATTTTATTCAAATGAAGCCAAATGGTACAAAACCAACTAACCCTAGTGGCCTAGTCTAGCATCATTTAGAAGCTACCCTGCAGCATTAGGAGAAGATTAAGTACTCTACTATTTCTTCTATTAGGTGGAATTTAATCTTTTAATGGGGTTTAGCTACATATATTGTTATCATAGTCTGATGTCCCTGCTATACACAAGGACCTGAAGGAAGTCAATCAATTATTTGGCCTATCATAGGGGGTTGTTTAATCCTAATAAATCCAACTGAGTTGTCCTGGCCATGGACATTCTCTTTAGTCGTATATCTTCAGGTGCAGCATAGCTGATTGGACAGTCTGGTGAGCATGTGACCATTAATACCATATTCATGGATAGTCTCGTAACTCTAATATGGTAGAATTCCTGACATGGTACAGGCCTGGGAAAACTGAGGTAACCTAGGGCTGTTGGACATTAAGGTTTCAGTTTATGACCGAAGTAGGCTAGGTTATCTGGGCCTGTATTTGGAATGGTTATGGGGAAAATTAATGTTTTCATTGGCTGAACTGAGATTTTCCCTGGTTATGCAGGAAAAGAGGAAACTTGAGTAAACTTTTGGAATAATCTAAAAAGTAGAATTAGGTCTTAATCAAAGTGGTCGCTGAGAGAGATTTGAGTTCTCTCACTCTGGGAATTTTAGGTATCACATGTAGAAGTAGAAATAACTCCCAGGGGTAATATCACATGACCAAGAGAACTGCAATGATTTCAATTCTTCATTCTCTTCTTCAACCAAAAGGTAACAACTATTTACATGTCGTTTTCTTTAGGGTGGGGGAGTGCCATAAAAAAGACTGGTGTTCTTATAACACCTTAGGAAAGAAAAAGAAAAAAAAGAAATAAAAATGAAAACTTGTCAAAAGAGTTATTCAATCTCCAGGATAAGTTAAAGCAACACAAAAGAAAGATTAATGGACACATTCTCATACCTAGACCCTACTTACTGAAAGTAAAAATGAACTAAGATATCCATGGTACCTACAAAATACAGAAAAGACTACATAAGAAGAGAATAAAGTCTGTTGATCCTCTCTTGCAACTATTTCAATTCTTCATCAATCCCATTATTTCTTTTTTTATAACCTATTAACTAATTCCTTCCAAGAAACAGGAGATTTAATTTTTAAAGATGGTCCTCATAAGTTTCTACCTGTAATTAATCTTATGCCTATCTTCCATGTGGCAGTCCTGTTGGAAGGCAATGCATCTCAAAAGAGGACCTTGTCTTAATAAGGAGAAAAGGATTGGCTGTGGTGGATTGTTCATGGGCACGTTTGAGTGATGTGCCTTTTGTGAAGCTTCGTTGTGCTGCTCCTCGTCTTTGTATGAATCCTTAACTACCTTTTTCAATTTTTGGCTTTCTTTCTTTTTCTATTTCTAGATAATTCACAAACATCTATTTCATGTATGTGCATCTGTTGCCTCCATTTGCAGATTCGGAATTTTAGACATTTTTCTCTTTCCTTTTGTTGTTACTTGTCTTGGATCCTATGTTGCATTTATTCATGTAAAAGAGAGAAGAAAACAATTGTTTTATAAAAGATGGGTTCTCCATGGGTGTTTGGTTAATGACATGTATGTGTGCATGCGTGTCTAGTTCAGTGATTTAAAAGGCGCGCCTAGGCGCACAAGAGAGGTGCATTTTAGGGTAGGTGCCTTGCCCAGGTCCTAGGCGTAGCCCTTTCAAAAGGCGCACGCCTAGTGCAATTTGCGTCTCAGCCCAGGCGTGCGCCTTTTGAAAATTTGACGCTTTTTTGTTTTTTTTTTGTGTCTAGTGTTTGGTAATGTTGTTCATTCATTCATCCTAATAAAATATCTTCTTAAAAAGCAATTAAAACTATAAAATCATTATTTGTTGTCCTAGGCGTAGCCCTATTTGGTAATGTTGTTCATTCATTCGTCCTAATAAAATATCTTCTTAAAAAGCAATTAAAACTATAAAATAATTGTTTTTTGTGTGAGAACTAAGAATTTAAGACCTAACATGGACTTGTTTGGGCTTGCCTCGAGGGGCGTGACACAAAGGCGGATCGTAGAATCAGGAATGTAATATGTTTTACATCACATTAGCTAGTTGAAGTAATGCAATTGAGAAAAAGAGATTGTGGGTTTTATATGCTTGAAAATGTTTTATATATTTACTTTTATTTTTAAATTCTCATTTGAATATGTGTTACATGTTATATTTATGTATTTTAATTTTAGATAATAGGTTTTTTAAAACATTTATTCTAAAACGTAAGTTTATATTTTTATTAATTTTATGTTTAATAATTTTTTGATTTTTTGGCTTTTATTTATTTTTGTTGTTTTTTATGCCTTGCTTAAAAAGGCATGCTCCTTGCCTTGCGCCTTAGGTGCAAATTGACTCCTGCGCCTTTTTTGCGCCTTGCACTTTTAAAACACTGGTCTAGTTGTAGAATTAAAAATGTTTTTCTCCTCCAGCTGGACGTTTAGAGGAATTGGTTGACACTTGACAGACACCATAGCAAGTTGCAACCATGAGTTTTCTTAAGTTCAGCTTACCATATGCATATCTTATCTGCATATACTTAATTGGTCATCTATTAATTGCTGCCTATCCTCCTTCCCCACTCTTACAAAGAGATAGGTTTAACATGATTACTCTGCTATTTTACAGCCTTTTAGGCACTAGTTCCAATGCTATCTGTTACTGAAGTGAAGAAAATAAGTATCAAGCTAGAACGCTAGATATATATAACCATGAAAACCATTCTGTAAATATTTTGTAACTGATGGGAGAGCCGAAAAAAATCTCTATATTTTATTAATAGCTGATTGGAGCAGATTAATGATGAAAAAAATATAGAAAGTATATCTATCAAAAAAAAGTCCAAGAATAAAATACAAAAGCAAGAGTTATCCCTGCCATGCTACTCTTCCCTCAAAAGGTGCCCGACAAATACAAAAAT